TATGCTTCCCCTCCACCCTTAGCTTCCAAAGTGCCCTTAGCTTCATCCTGTATATAAAATAACAAAACCCTAAGCTTTTGTTGGGAATTTTGGGCACCACAATCCCACATAAATGAAAGCAATAAAGAAATTAAGACAACAATTTAACGTAGTTCAATTTGTATAGTTGGAAAGAGAGAAATAAATCCACCATTAAGAAAAAAAAGTATAATAATTTAGAAGTTCTTTCACTCAAGAAGCTCTCAACACCCTAGTTTCAATATATAAAAACTTTCAAATTCCCCCTAATACTTTTTTTCTTAATCTACACAAGGATTATCTCACAATTTCTCTATTCTTTTCTCTCACAAGAGCACTCACTCAATTTCTCTTTCTTCCTCCCACTCTTGCTTGCACATTGCCTTTGCATGCATGGGTATTTATAGTGAAAAATCCCAACCACCCAAGCAAGTTTTTCTTTGCCTCATTACCACCTGTCCATGATATTCTTTACTCATTAAATGGGTCAACATGCAATCTTGCATGATTTCAACAAAGCAAATGCTAGCCCACAACAAGACTATATTAATTATTAATTTAAATTTATTACTCAATTCCCTTTGTAGCAGTTCCTTTTGCATAAAGCTCCTAGTGTTGTGTTTTCACTTTCTATTATAAACATTTGCTATCAAACTCTTTAAAATATGAAAGTATTGAGACAATACTTTCATCAAAAACTATGATTATTATTAAAACATCTTTTAATTAAGTTAACTCCATTAACTTAATTAAAAAAATAAAAATAAAATATCTCATATTATTTAATTTATTTTCCTTTCTAAATCGTGCACTCCAACTCTAATTATAAATTTTTAATTTACCTGCAACTCTATCCCTTATAACTAGATAGTCTACAACTCTACTTTCATAAACCTAAATTTTTAATTTATTTTTAAAATAATATTCTAATTTTTTAAACTAAACTTTAAGAAGTATCTTTGTAAAAGTTTTAAAACTATATAATAGAATTAATTTTAATATTCTACTATTTTTGGATATTGTTTGGTTGAGGAGTCTTAACTTTTAATTATAAACGCTTGTAATTATTCTTAATGACATTCATGTTGAATTTTATTTGCTTTTAATAGGGTTTCGAAGGAAGGATTGAATCATTTGGTGCATTAAGGAAAAAAAAAAACTAGTTTTAATTTTTAAGAATTATTTGCATTGTATTTGAAACTTAGAGTCATCTTTTAATGGCATTCATGTTAAAGTTAGGGTTTTTGCTTGGAAGGAAAAGAAAGACTTCTCATATATGAATTTATTCCAAATGCAAGCCTTGATCGTTTCATATTTGGTACGTGAACTTTCCATTTTCATTAATAATTAGAATTTTTAATGGGCTTTTATGTCTCGAGTCATCTACAAAGCACAATTAGATTGGCAAATGAGTCAATATCTTTTAAATTGTTATCAGTACTGGTGATTTCTTCTTATAGATACAATCAAGAAAGCACAGTTGGATTGGCAAAGGTGTTATAGAATTATAGGAGGCATTGCTTGAGGACTTCTCTATTTTCATGAAGATTCTTAACTATGAGTTATTCATCATGATCTCAAATTCAACAATATTTTATTAGATGCAGAGATGAATCTTAAAATTTAAGATTTTGGTATGGCAAAATTGGTTGCAGCTAATGATCAAA